TGGTGTCACATGTCGGAATAGGATGCTGGAAACATTAGTGGATGATGTAGCATTCATCTTGCCATCATCTAATGATGTTTTCTTCCAGTAGACCAGTACTGATAAGCTCAGATAGAGAAACTGTTAGTACTTGCTTTCTCCAGCTATAGATTACATGTGCTTCTTGATTTGGCTAACAAGGTATTAATTGAATAATTTGTGTCAGTCTCTTTCATCTTTGCGGTGGAGTTGAGGAGAAATTATTTACACTTTGCATTACTATTCTTATCAAATCTTCTGTTATTGTGGTCTAGTATCACACTTTTTGGTTTTCATATATCTCAGAATATCAAAAGTATTTTATTTCATGTTATACAATAACATAGAACGAAAAATAATGTGAATAGTTCAATTAAATCTGGCTGAAATTGTCCCAAAATCGCTTTTTATGTAACCAGAATCTTATTGCAATAGTATAGGAATAAGTCGTTCTTGTATTTAGAAATTAAAATTATATGTTTAGTAACCTGTCATAATTTACTCAAAAAATGTCCTATAATCATTAGCATAAAATGTGATGTTTAATATATATATATAGACCGATCTACAGTTAACACTCTCCATCAAGCTGACTTCTCGCCCCCCCCCGGCACAGCGGTATGTCTGCGGACTTACAACGCTAGAATCCGGGTTTCGATACCCGTGGTGGGCAGAGCACAGATAGCCCATTGTGTAGCTTTGTGCTTAATTTCAAACAAACAAGCTGACTTCTAATTTTTGCCTTATGTTTGTGATGTATTGATTATTCTGGAAGTCTTGAAAAACTGCCACATGCACGTAGCTATGTTTTAATGCATTAGGAAAACATGTGAATGACAAAGTATCATTCTAAACTATGTTGTTATAAATAAAACATTTAGTAAAAACGTACTGCTTGTTTAAGTGCTCTGATAGACAAATAGCAAATTTCCAGTTTGTGTGCATTTATTTCGTGTGCACAAACAAAATAACTCTGAATACTCCGTTTTTTGATCCACTTACCAAAAGTTAGAGATCTTCCACTATCTAAGTATTCGATCCAAAAGCGTATTTTTTGTGCCAAATTTAAGATTCACATCTAAGATAAATATCTAGATTTTGAGATATTCTCTTTTCAAAAAAAAAAACGTGTATGATATTTCTATTCAAGTGCTTGGCATTTTAAATAAATTACCAACATCGTCTTCTTTTATCTTTTTACCCAGTAATCCGTGCAAATGAAACGATACAGTGCATTACACAAAATTTATTTCTGAAGATTCTCCTACTGGTCCTCATCTTTAACATCTGTTTCTCTCTATTATGTTATCTCAATTTACTTTATTTTTGTTTACGGTGTTTATCTCGTTTTTTAGTTAATTTATATAATAACCTCTTCCCTTGAAAATCGTTGTCATCTGAATTTTTTATTATCTCATCTGTTATTTCTGTCATAATTCTGCCTTTAACAATACCATTTTCTCTTTCGTATTTTCAAACTTTTTACTTTGATGGTTCATTTCATTTCTTTGCGTTTTATTCATTTTCATCACCCCTCTTTCTCTCTATTTTAATTTCTGTCTTTATAATTGCTCATTATATTATACATTTCCCATTCTTTAATCCTATACAACCGTTACGAGTTATTAATTGATACTTTTCTAGAATTCATACTTGAAATTTTGATCAGGAATTTTTGTAGGGTAATTATATTTGACTTCAGAAGAGCCTTGATTCTATGCTACATCTGATATCACAGGAAATCTGACTGCTAGAAATTGGTACTGCCGATTTTATCTCATCTGTGATATTAACAAATACCTGTGTTTGTCTCTGTTTAAAACTTTTATTTTACTAATTCCTAATGCATTTTAGTTTATTTATTCCCAGTGCATTTTATTATCTTAATGATGTTCAGATCATCTATGTAAGTTTCCGTGGAAATATATGTTGTTATCCAGTTGATAATTTTGAAACATGTGTGCTAGACATTCAACATTTGATCTAATAGATTAGAGGGAAGACAGCTACTCAACAGTACCCACCCTTTACATATATGGGCTACTGTTTTCAGATCTAATAGTGGGTTTTGACCATCACTGTTATAGCGCACCCACTATCCCAAAGTGCCGAGCACGATTTTTTATTAGATGTTTATACAACAACGGTACCATCAGATCCATAGTCCGGCACGTTAACCAATGTGCCACTCTCGCCCCAAATTATTTTGTAAAACACTAAAACTATATCATTCTTGTTTATGCTTATTGCCAACACGCCCATTTAGATAGTAAATATAAAAACAAATCCACAATTCCATTGTTAAGAACCTAAAGGAGGTCTTCTGTAACTGAAAAGCTTTTTTTTTTTAGTAAAAGTCTAAACAACCGAATAAATTTCGTAATAAAAATTGAACTCCAATTAAAAAGGAGTTTTCTTGATAATAGTAATAAGAAAAAAAGATGGAAGTTCAACTGTAAAAGATTTAATGCAGTAAGATAAAAATATTTCAGATTTCTCTGAGCAGTTTTGTTGTTGTTGAAATTCTTATTTAAAGCTACAGATTTGTCTATCTGTACTCTTTCTACCGCGGGGAATCGAATCCCAGATTTTTGTGTTGTGGGAAGTTTGGGTTTTAAGTTAATTTGAGTTTTGGTTATGATTCTAAATATAAATATTAGGTATTCAGTTGCGAAAGAACTTCCAAGAATAGTAAATTCTGAAATTATCCAATATGCGTCAGTATTGTTTACAACAATTTTTTTAAAAAAAAAAAGCTTTCCTAAAAGTTTAAAGGCTTTTTAACAACATTAGTCTCTAACCTTAAGGTTTTTTCCCTCTAGTAAAAGGAAACCGTTTAAGAAAGTTACATTTTCTAATAAATTACTAAATTTTATCAAACGTGTAATATTTTTTTACGTATTTTTTATTTTTAATTGTAGAAAAATATGAAAATATACAATTTTGTTTGTAGATATTATTGTGTAATATATTGTAAAGTTTACTTCTAAGCTATTTTTATTAGTATATTGGTGGTTTAATTTGTAAGTTACGATATTTTAATGATGAGGTTTCTCACTAATATAAATCAATTTGTTAATTTTTTTTTAATTAACCAGGTGGTTGAATTGTATAGTATAACCACGAAGGTAGTTCCTCTTCTTCGTTAAAATAGAAAACTGAAATCCAACACTAAAACTTAGAAACGAATAGTTTATTGTGTATATTTGTGTTTACAATAAACAAACAAAATCTTTCTGTAAAGCAGAGACGGCTGGTATGGGTATTAAAAACATTAATTAAAATAAAGTACAAGAATAACGTTTCGACTTTCTTCGGTCATCTTCAGATTAACAAAGACTTGAAGATGACCGAAGAAA